TTTGCTGGTAACTGAAACCAACCTGAACAGTCGGAAGACGATCACGCACCCACCCCAGCCCTCTGCAAAGCTGCCCATCACGCCGTCCTGTCCTGGCTTGAGTACGACAGGGCTGCCTTGCACTTACAGTACAACTGTAAGGTGTTTCATGCTTCATCCCATCAAACCGGTATTTTCTTCTTAAGCTTTCCATAGGGAACCTGACATATCCCTCATTCCCTGACTCCAAGGCTGTGGTTCTGCCTTACGCCCCTCACCAACAGAAGCAAATGCTTGGCTCGGTCTCCTGGTGCGTGTAACACCAACTTGTCCTCATGGCTGCAGCAACACTTCCAGCTACTGCAAACCTTCCTACTTCTCCGCTCTTGAACCTGTTGTAGTTGCATGCACAGCTTTTGGGTTGTGTATTGTCAGGCAATCTATATCGAGGTGACTTCGCTCTCTCTTTGCAGTAGATAAAAGCTCTAAAACTACATGCAAAGGAGAAAAAAAGCATCCGATGGTAACCTGTACAAGGTGCGAGCCAGCGGTGTGGAACCAATTCCTTGGGTCATGCCCGGTGCTTTTTTAGAATGACACAAACCCTGATGGGATGTGGCTGTGGAGGAGAATTGGGGCAAGCCCTTTCTCCCGGAAGGTTATGAGGCCACGCAGAGGTTTTTGCCAAATAAAGAGGCTCCATTTCCAGCTGAGGGACCCTGTGGCACAAGAAGCCACCAGCCACAGCATCTGCTGGGGGAGATGGTGCTCCCCCTCTGCAGCAGAAAAGGAGCCAGCACCACCTCCTAAGGCAGAACCAATATGCCTGTGCAAAGTCCTTGGGTTTCTAATGTCTGTTCAGCTCTAGTCCAGCCCAAGGCTGATATGACTCGCGTTATGAGGTCATTACTGTGACTGCACAGGAACTGCTGGGGTTTGGGGGGGTGGGGAGGGTGGTTTGCATAGTGAGTGGGTCAGAAAACGTGTTTGCCTCCGCTGGGTGCAAACACGAAGGTTGCTTTGAATAAGGTTTCAAAAAGATCCAGCGTTCCAAGTCCTGTCTGTCAAATTCAGAAAGGAGCTGGAGATGTTTCTGGAGGAGAAGAAAATACCAAGACGCAGGCACTATATATAGACGTCCCTGTGAAGGTGGCGACGTTGGAGTGCGGTGTATTTTTATCCCAATAGAGGTGTTATCTGTCTATCTCCCATGAAATGCTGGAGGGGGGTGTTACAGCACTCAGTTCATGCAAAGAGAAAATAGCCGAAGTCACAGTTAAATTTGTGTGGTCTGTGTTTTCCAAAGGCAAGCTGTCATACTCGGAATTTTTCTCCTCTGGCTTACTGCCCTGTATTTGTTGCATGACAAAGTTCATCATCCAAGTAGCTGTTTAGTGGCCTGGATGGATTTTTGCCATGTGTAGGGTACAGTTTAGGTCTGCTCCTCATCAGAGAAGCACGGGAGTTTTGTGTATACCTCAGCACACACCATCTTTCTGTTCTCTCACCAGTGGCAAAGCCACGGTTAGCTTACATTGGGGCTGAAGCCAGATAAGAAGGATGCTTCAGCACAAGACATAACCACATCTGGCACATGCCAGGGGCGGTTCCTAAGAGTTCAAAGGCTTCAGTGTAGATTAGTTACGCATTCACCTCCTAGCAAATCCTTTTATTCTTAAATTCCAGACAGTTTATTATGTGGAGATCCTGAAAATCCAAAGACTTGTCCTCTCTGCATAGATGGTAAAGATCTTAAAACCTGGCCAGATGTCCCGGGAGCAGTTACCGGGCAGTGCCGGTGGCCTCTGTGCAGCACTGCCCGAGCGGCTGCTCCCACGGCGGCTGCTCCTCGGGGCCTGGCTGGTCCCTGCACAGGCACAGCCTGGGTATCGATAAGGCACGTATGTGCCTGTGTGCCCAAACCCAGAACGTGCCCACGCCACATTAGTACGTAGGAAGTGGCTTCAGAAGTGATTTAAATGCTAGCAAATAAGAAATAGTTTGGGATGGGCTGTAACTAGAATATTCCTTTTTTTTTTTAAGGACTGTCTCTGTGAAATTCCTGACTGCAAACTGAGTATTGTATTACTGCTAATTCAGCAGCCCTGCTGGGGCCCGCTCGCACTTCCCTCTTGGAATGATACGAGCCCTTGGCTGGCTTGCTGAAGAGGGGATTTATTTTACTTTTTTGGCTTCGTGGATGCTTATGAGGATGAAGAGCAAAAAGCTGGCAGGGAAACATCTCTGCTGAGAAGAGAAACTTTGATCAAACTTGTGATTTTCTCAGCTCCATGGAGTAAAGGAAGTTTATTTATAGAACAGCTTTTTTTGGTAAAAACAAAACACGTCCTGCATCTTGCTTTTGATGATGTATCTGGCTGCAGTGCAGCACGGTGCACGTTAATTTTATTTGCTTTGTAGCATGAAGTGGTGTAGAGTATTAGCGGTAATTAGCAGTCTGTGCAGATTGGGGCAGTCTTTCTTTGGAGAGCACACGACCTGCCACTGCTGTTGCAAATGAATACTGCATTTAAGAGTACCCAGAATACTGCATTTAAGAGTACCCAGGAAGGCGATGGTGGTGGGATTAACTGTGGTGGAGCAGGACTGCACGATACATGTTCTCACGGTGATTCTTGACAACCAGCATCTGCTCTGAGGTTCAAATCATTTGGAGCCCTGGATACCCTGAAACTCAAGCACTCCATGGTGTAGGGAGGCAAGAAGTCATCCTTATTCCTACTGCCTTGTTTCTCTGCACCGCATGGGCACTTCCAAATGAGTCCTTGCTACTGCCAGGTGAAGAGCTGCTGTTACCAGATGCCAGTTCAGGGGAGGGTCCATACGCATCAACATCCCACTACAGCAGCTAAAGTAACATGTGGTCCCATCTGCAGGTATTTAAAACCACCAAAACCAAAACGTGACTAATACGTTGCAGCCTTCACCTCGCAGCAGAGGATTCCAAAGGGTTTTATAATTAATTAACTCATTAAGTCTAAGAGCATTTCAGTGTAACGTGTTTTATACCCTTCACCAGGGAGGCATAGGGAGTCAGAGGGCTATCTCAGTGCTGCGCCCCAGCGCTGCGGGGAGCCGGTCCACAGCCACGGCCCTCTCGCTCACGACTTCTGCTGATTCCCAGGCGTTTGGTCTTAAAACGCTTTGGGGAGCTGCAAACTGGTGGCTGCTGCCATTGTATAATATCAACAAGTTCCCACCTGTCCTGAGAACTAGTAAAAGAAATGTGAAACGGGTGAGAGAGAAGAAAAACAGAGGAGCGTATTTGTGCTTTTTTAGCGGGGGCTGAGGGAGTCCAGTTGGAGAAACGACAAACCTTCTCTTTTTCCACTGAAATGCTGCCCATAGTGACAGTGGCTGAAAAGTGTCACTGTCTGATGGTTTGTAGCTTGGACAAACGGCATCAGCAACTCTCTGCAGCTCCCCTGGAGAGCTGGTTCACAGTGAGGGGCCTCGCTGGCCGTGGCTCTGCTGCCAGCAGGAGTGGGCAGCCCTGACGCGGAGCAGGGTCACCCATGGCAGAGGCTGCCGAGCCCCACGGGTGGCTGGCAGAGGGGACCGCGCTTGTCCCTGCCTCGCTCTGCTGTCCCACCCGGCCACCGCTCACTGATGGGCGCTGCAGACGGGAGACGGCTCCCGGGCCGTGCTGCATCACCCACCTGCCCCTACTCCCCCAGCACCACCAAACAGCATCGCTCAGCACCTTTGGGGACCCAGCTACGTTTCGTCTAAGCTGAAGCGTAATTTCTGGCCACAGAGATGCACGCGGGAGAAGCATCTCTGGATGGCCTCTTCCAGGCCAGCTGTCTTGCATCGCCCGCCTGGCCCAGGCGCTGCCTCCGTGCACGGGCTGGCATGCCTGCCTGCCAAGCTGTGGGCCAGGCAGGGCTCCCAGGAAAGGGACTCAATTCCAGGGCCACACTGCTGCACTTCCCAGTGGGAAAACCTGGGAGAGGAGGTCCCGAGAGAGATCGGGCTTTCTGTGTGATCCAACCAAGATGACTTATCAACACCACAGAGATTCCCTGGGATACGCGCACCAGCTTGTACCCACAGGACACAGGGGGTCCCCTACAGCTCCACAGCAATGCCCGCACGCATGTACCTCTGTAGCACGCCAGTGAGAAAACCTGTCCTATGTCTGCCTGGAAGTTTATAGCTCTGCAATCCTGAAAAACGTTCTGAGATTTAACAGCCATTTGAGTCAAGCTTTTGAATGTTGTGAAAAGGTTTGTAGAGATGTTGTAAAGAAGAATAGTTCAGGTGGGAGAAATGAAAATCCAGGAATATAATGCAGGAAAGGTGGAGCCACAGTCTCTACCCCAAATTTAATCTGAGCCAAGCTCCTTTAACAGCTCTAATATCATCTCCTCATTATTTGAGAAAAGCTTTTGTACTGTTAAAGAAAATGACAGAAACAACTTAGAATTTTAAAATTAACCTAGTAAATCATCCTTAGATAAAGTTAATAAGTTGCGTTTAATGTTTTTCACTAGTCAACCTCAAAGTATTTTGCCAGGGACATAACATCATTACATGCTCTCCTCCCTTTTCAATGGCTGGGGAAACTGAGGTGCAGCAACGGGAAATACCTTTCTCGAAGTCTAACAGTTACAGCTTTGCAATTACTGATTTAATTGCTGTCAGTCAAAAAGCAGTATATGGCCCAAAAGTTGAAGCTCCTGAAATGCCTCCCCCCCACCCCCCAAAGTCCAGAAGCACCTGAAAACTCTGGGGGAAAACAGCTGCCGTGAAGTTTTTGTAAGGAGAAGGGCAAGCTGGTTTTGTTTCAGCGTGAGAGTCAATGCAGTTACTGTTGTGATGAACTCGAAATAGTCAAATACCACAAGGAAATAGCAGACAGATTTGCAAACAAAATGATCTCTCTTACTTCAGACATTTCTGCAATACTGCTAACAGGAAAGTTTCACAGCTTTTGGCACACAAGAATAAAGCTTTCTATGCTGACAGACAGAGTAAAGAATGTGGACCCTCCTTACCCCTTCCATGTGGATCCTGGGATTTGTCGCCAGCCGGTGCTGATGAAGTTGCAACCCCCTGGGGACTCTCCTGATGGAGGCAGGGGAAGACAGGACCCCCGACCTCTGGATTGAGCCAAACCTGGTAATGTTTGGTCCACACCTGACTCCATCCAGGAGGCGAATGAGGAGCAGGTTGGAGGGCAGCTGCTCGATGCTGCAGAGGACGAGGGTCCTGCACTCGGGGCACCTGAGCTCCTTCTGGGATTTCAGGATCCTCTGCAGACAGGGCTTGCAGAAAGTGTGCTGGCAAGGTAGCACCTTTGCTGTGGCGTCGAGCTTTTCAAAGCACACAGGACACTCCAACAGGTCAAGGAGAGCTAAATCATCCATCTTCAGTGCAGAGCTCCGTCACGAGCGGAGCTGGAGCCATCCACATGCCACATCCACCGGGGCGGGCTGAGACGCCTTCCTGCGCCCGCGAGAACCGCACCAAAATCCTGGGCTCAGACAGCTATCCTGCACGGAGGGAGAGGGAGGAGGGAAAAAGAGCAGAACTTGACTGCTGGAGTATGTAATACATCCCACCTACATTGCAAAGCAGTGTCTCACCAGCCAATTTGCAAATGTATACTTTGCGCTCACATCCAAGTTTGAAGTGAGTCACTCATGACTCAGTACAAGCAAGGGGACGACGTTCGGGCTGACGCCAGAGGCAGGAGCCCCAGGTCCTGCTCACTGGGCAGACAGATCCCGTAGTTCGACCGGGGCGAGCTGGCTCCCCTCTGCCGGCTGGGGCAGCGCTGGCTGCAGCAGGACAGGCAAGGCTCAGCCTTACTCACACTGTATGCAAAGTTGTCTCTAATGCTCCCCAGTCTGCGGATCATAACTGACACGGCAGTAAAAAATTTACCAGCTCAGGAGATAAGAGTCCCCGATAAACATCAGACTGGACCTGTTTACGCTCGGCTCCGGCTGAAAGCAGCCGCTTGCTGCACACATCCCTTGCACACCTACACGCCGCCTCGTTTTTCAGCTCGGTCCCAATTAAGCTCGCTCTCTACCCGTTTTGACAGCAGTTCCATAAAAAGTGCTTCAAACACAAACACTCTCCAGAGGTACCTGGCAGAGACACGAGGCGCTCCACAGTGCCATCCTCGCCCGGTTTGGCTGCCTCAGCTCTCTGAAGCAACCCAAGACGATTATTCCTCCCACAGCCTGAAGTCACTCAACCTGTTCAGCTCTCCCGGTGCTGCGCGCTGGTTGAGACTGAAGCGCACACCACGTCGGGATTCAAGTCCGGACTTGCGGCAGCCGCGTGGCCCCGCAGCGCAGACGG